AACTTGAAACTGTAACTAAGTAACCGCCATTATTTGCTTCTTCATAATTGAACTCAACCGCCGGACGACCAGCTGATACCATGATAGCTGTTTTGCAGTTGTTTATATACCTCGGTCGGGGTTTATTTCCCGTATTGGCTACGCAGTTGGCAGACGACGGAGGAATTTTCCTCCAAGGATGTGGGTTTTCGGGGTGTGGTGTTCTACAACAAATTGTGATGTCTGTGGGCAATCTACACTCCGATGGCTTCGGGGAATTTATGCAGGGTTTTCATAATCCCTTTTTATAAACAGGATGCATAATCGTAACCTGGCTTACTTGATGGATTCCTGTAACGGTGCCATTGTTTGTAGGCCTGTTAAACGTGAAAAATATCGACTAGTTCAGGGACTAGCGTATTATAATGAAATTCATTTGACCGGCAGAGCGTCCAAGTGGACAATCGTTGTCGGAGCGCAGTATCCGGACTTCTTTGTAAACTGCAATACGCCACTGACATAATACTAGGATGAGAAGGAAGACTAATGCGCTGTAGTGTTCAATATTTGTTACCGGTGTTTCGATTCAAACATGCGAGACCAGGATTACTCGACAAGTCATGGAACGTGCGAGTCTGCTACCATGTCTTTATCAGTGTAGGGGGGATTCGATCTTAATTCCACATCTCGTCCCCAGGGGTCAGGATCTTGTTTTTATTTCCGCTGGCATAGGTAGGTTTTCGTTGTGTCTACCGACAGGACTGTCATTTTCGTTAAAAGTGGTTTTTATTATCTATGGTAATTCATATTGCATCAACACATTAGATCCCACAAATTGACCACGCAGGATTGGCAAGAGGGAGTTGTGCACAGAGTCAGACATCGCGCCTTTCCGTATTTTCTTACGGGCGGAAGGTATGAGTACCAAGGCAGTGTACTTTATTTGCTAGATAAAGTGATCAATCATCAATGGCCAATTTTTGAATGACACCATATGGAGGTCTTAAAGTCACTTATGCATTGGGCATTTGGTTTCAAGGAAAGCATTAGTTGCACTGGAAAAACGCACTTGTCGTCGCCTCGATGAACGCAGACGCAGTTGACGCAATCTATTCCACTGGCATATCGTAGTGGCCAAACATTCCATTCCACTTAAGCGTCTTAGACATGAAGTAGGAGAGAACTGAAGTCGCGGAAAGACAAGTATCTTTTGGCTTGTTCCGGGTATGAATGATTAAGAGATTGAATGGCTCATCAGATATAGCAGCGGTGACTAACAGATAGGCCGAATGCACATAAGAGGCGGGTAAAAGTCGCGTGAGCAACTATTTTTTGCTCTGATGTTTTGTCGTCTTTTTCGATAATAATTATTTGCCCAGGGTTTGCGCGAAATAAGTGAGTCGACATATTTTATAAGGAATGTTTGACATAATGGCGAATGGGATTGTTAATTGCCGGAAATCATGTAGTCTCGTCTTGCATGCTTTCATGGACGACAGTTCAAGTCTTTGGTAGTGAATGTCTAACCCACTAATTATACAGTGCATATCTAGGATTTCCTGATCTGTCAGGTTTTTCACTTGCTAACTAATCTTCCTCATGCATATATTCAGTCAGTTTAAGTCCATTTATTAAGAGAATGAGGCTTTCGCCATTGAGTTCCCTAACCATGTCGATAAACAGAAACGGTATCAATTTTTACATCAGTAAATCTCGAAAATCAAAGGTAAGCTTTAAGTGTGAGCCAGGAGCAAACTGTCGTCGCTAAAACAATCGGGATAATGTATACGGTTGTTTCTCAACAAATAAGCGCCTAGTTTGCACTTAAAGGATTCAACAGTTTCGGAAAGAACCACCACATCAGGGAGTCCGTTCCATGCCCTAGTGACCCTCTGCGAGAAGACGCTCCGTCAAACGTCCATATAGGCCACCTTCCTCTGCAGTTTAAAGGGATGACCACGCAGACGGTCACTCCCGGCCATTTCGACGAATTCATCAAGGTCAAGGACGCACTCAAGGCCGCTAACAATTCTGAGGCTTGAATGAGATCACTGCGCAGTTGCCTGTAATTAAGAGGAAACAAATCTACCTCACGCACTCTGGTTTCATAATTCAGATGATCAAGATTCTTGACCATTTTTGTAGTCATCGCTTGTACTCTCCCCAGTTGTTGATAATCTTTCTTTAACAACAGTCGCCGGGCCTGGACTGCATATTCTTAGTGAGACCACACGAATGCACCGTCCGTTTTTCCGAACAGCTCTTTATCGATCTGCACAAATCCTCGTCTCAGCGCAGATAACACCCATATCGAACGTTTGACTGCCTCTGACACTGTGACGATGGTTTCAGTGAGGTGGTCCTTATAACGCCGAGGTCTGTCTGTCTCGCATATTCTGATAAACAGATGAAACCTTCAAAAGGCAATTTAGCGAGCATACGTCTGCTCTCCATAAATTTCCTTCAAACCTGTACATATATATGGCTATTGAAGTAATGAAATAAAAGATACAGGCAATTAGATAACAATGCTGTAGCTCGGGATTGAAGATGGGGGAGGGGGAGAGTGAAACACCAGAGTTATAGTCAGCGCCAGGGAGAAGGTGGGCACCGGCGAAGGCAATTACATGCAGGTCGCTGGCTTGGTGGCTTTGACCCATGGAGACTGTGAGACCTGTATGAAGTTTTTATGTACGCATAGGACCGGTCTGCGTACCCTTATTGCAGCCGCCCCTGCCGTGGCCAACAGATGCTGCCCAAGTAGTTTTGGAAGGCTTGATGGGACGTCGGGAATCACTAAGATGACCTCTCTGGCGTCTACACGGTGGTCTGTGCCTACCATGTGCGTGAGGATCGAGCTGTCGAATGCCATATAAATGTACAGGCCTGAGGAGAATTTATCGAAAACTGCTGTATACTCGCCGAATTGATTTTTGGATTTTTCAACGGGAATTATCGCAACTCTAAGCAAAACCTTACACACATTTAGGTTTACATACCAATACTTCACGGTTTTCAAGAAATGGCCGAAGCTAAAACCAACGAACCAGTCTTACCTGAAACTGAAGCTAACATTTACTGTGCATAAGTAAATTGCATCATGTCATTTTGTTCATATTACATATGCTTAGGTGGTAATTGTTTCGCGTGTTGCCTATACGCTCTGGTCCCTCATTTCCATTCTGAATGGCCTAATAAATGTAAGAATGTTGTTTTATGTGTGACAATAATAATAAAGGCGAAAATATATATTCTTCACTAGGAACCAACTTCAGTCAAGCACTTTCGTCTTCAGAACAATCGACCCTGTCATCTGAAGTATAGCAAATGCAATAGAGACCAATCAGCTCTTGTTTAAAACAGGTTATTTGCAATGCTTCGAATTTTTTCGAGTATAGATTCCAAGGGGTTCAGCCTTTTTAAAATGCAAAACGATAAACGTCTACTAATGCGAATACTTTAGTTTGCATTGCAAGATTACAGACAGTTGAACAAAAGTAGCAATCAAGTAATTAGAATGGGATCTGCTTTATGGCCAAATCTGAAATTTGGATGTTTTTAAAAATTTCAAATGTAAAATCTTTCAGACGTATCAAATGTCGTGAAAAATGGCGCACGTTATAGAATTTGGCAGATCAAACAAGGCAGACCAAATAAGCCGGCTCAAAATGCTTCCCAGACAATCAGCGTTGTCTCCGTAAACATTACATCTGCAATCGGAGTTGGTACGTCTTCCGAATTATTTTTTCCAATACCATATCCTAATTACTAAAAATAATGTGCATCGAATAACAAGTTTGAACGACCCCTGCATAGTACTATCCGGAAGTCAGTAGAACATTACAAACGAACGTTCTGCTGTAACGACAACAACGAGAAATACGATATAAGCGAAGTTGCCACTCTGGTGGTTACAATAACCAATGTTTAATTTGGAAGTTATTTTGCCCTTTCACTTCAGTATGTGAGTTCCAGTAAACGTATTTGATTTTATAAGTTCCGCAAATATTCCCATGTTAGAATTGATAGTGAAGTTGGCAAATACGTGTTTTCGGTAATTCTTCGTTAGGCCAAAACAGTACATGAAGAAATTAAAATGCACAAAATCAACTGTTTTTATAGGCTGCAGTTCCAGTTTGCAGTTCAGAAGACGAATTTGCGATCACTGGAACAAGAACTTTATTGGCCTGACGTTTCAAATTTTCACACTAGTCTATCATCAGAGACATTCGCAGATAACGGTGATAGTGGCACAAGGGTTGAAGTATTTATAGCACGTGGCTGCCGTGAGAGCATATGCGCGCTGTAATTAACAACTCTCGTAACCACCGCTGGGGTCGTAATTGATGCGGTGGTGGCTTGTCAGTCCGAGTCCGAGTCTTTAATGGCCGTGATTTCGTGATCCGTGCTTGATGCTGGTGTGACGATTACTCGTCACTGGGATAATTGCTCGGCATGTTCTCCCCACGTGACTGATTCTCTTGCCCAGGAAAATCTCAGCAAGGAATATGGTACCGGGAGGTTATTGTGCTTGTTGATGGATTGCGGGCCTGTGAACCATGACTCGAGCAGCTCGCGAATCACGCGGTTATCACCCCTTGCGATTATTTTGGCCTCTCGAAATTTAAAAATATGGCCGGGTCCCGTCGAGTGTGCCGCCACCTGTGAGCTAGCGGCTCCCCGCCTCACTGCTGCTGTGAACTTGGCAATTCGCGTACGGAGTAATCTCCCAGTTTCTCCGACATAGTTGCTTTGTCCGCAACTACACCAGATCCGGTTAGCGACTCCAGACGTTTCCTGCCGTGGCAGCGGGTCTTTCGGCCTCATGACTCGGTGCCTAATGGTCGCTTTCGGCCTATGTGCAACCCCAACTCAAAATGGAGTGAAAAGACGACTGACAGATTCAGAGACGTCCTTCACGTACGGAAGAGCCCGCGAACATTTAATGCCAGTTGGATTTGGTCCCTGTGTCGTTTTCGTATGCACTGGTTGACAAAGGTACGCGGGTAGCCATTGGCTTTTTAGACCCGTCGGAGGTATTGTAATTCGGCAATCTTGTCTTCCGGTTCACTGCAGTGCGGTTCGACACGCCGATAGAGCGTCCTTACACAATTGCGTTTGTGACTGATTGGGTGGTTGCTGTTGAAGTTCAGTACTTGCATCGTATTTGTCGCTTTCCTGAACATTTTGGTATTTAGGCCACCACATTCTTTGCGGCAGACGAGTACATCCAGTAAGGCCAGCTGGTTATTCTTCTCCTCCTCCATCGTAAACTGAATGCCCGGGAAGACGGCGTTGAGTTGTTCTTTGAAAGTCAGCACCTGATCCCGTTCGATGACGACGAAGGTGTCATCCACATACCGAGTCCAAAATTTCAGTCTGTGGTGTCGGAAAACCAGCGACTCCAGCCGTTGAAGGACCGCCTCGGCTATGAGTCCCGAAATCGGCGAAGCCATTGGCGTTCCCTTCACCTGCTCGTAGATTGTTCCGTCGAACGTAAAGTACGTCTTGAGACAGAACTTCAGGAGCTGGATGATTTGGGCGTGTCCGAGGCGATTCTCCGTTTTGTGGTATTTCTGTCGTAGGAGTATTTCGATGTTCTCGACTGCCAGGTCCTGCGGGATAGAAGTAAAAAGGGACGTGACATCAAAGGAACCAGGATATCGCTTGGTAGGAGACTTACTCTTTTAAGTTTCTTCAAGAATTTCGTTGACGAGCTGACTGTGGTGTTCGAATCGGAGGTCAGAAACTTGAGACTTTGGAACAGCCACTTTGCCAGTCCGTATGCTGGAGTGCCCTTTAGTGATACGATAAGCCGGAGAGGAGCGCCCTCTTTGTGCACTTTTGGGAGACTGTGGAACCGGGCTAGGGCCGTGCTGAGATGTTCCCTGGGCAGGGGAATCAATCACGTGGGGAGGGCGCGGGATAGCAATTAATCCAGTGACAGTGAGCCATTTTGCCGAACAATCGTCGCGCCAGCATCCAGCACGGATGACCAAATCGCGGCAATTAACGACTCGGACTCGGAATGACAAGCCACCACCGCATCAATTACGACCCCAGCGGTATTGTTAATTACAGCGCGCATATGGTCCCACGGCAGCCACGTGCTATAAAGACTCCACTCCTTGTGCCGACATCATCTTTTTCTGCGAATGTCTCTGATGATGGATCCGTGTGAGAATCCGAGACACCAGGCCAATACATTTCTTGTTCCAGTGATCGCATCTTTGTCTTCTGAAGTGTTTATAGGTGTCTCCAGGTCTATTAAATCATTTACACTCATTATTCCCACGCCGCACGCATGAAACTGTCGGCGGGTTTCGGTCCTCAGAGCTTGGGGGGGGGGGAGAGAGGCTTTGAGTGATGTTCTTGGATTATTTACACGGAGTACCCATCACTGTAATCAGGGATTTGTGGGGGCATGTCGTCATCACTTAGGGCTGGCGTTGGCCGCGACAGGGAGAGCGCTTCTGTCAGGGTTTGCTGACAGCATAACGCCGGATTCGCTAACCGTATAGCCGGTGGCATGCTGTCAGAAAAGCCTGACACATGCGCTCTACCTGTCGCGGCCAACGCCAGCCCCAAGTGATGACGAGATGCCGTCCTAAATCCCTGATTACAGTGATGGGTACTCCGTGTACTCAATCCAAGAACATCACTCAAAGACCCTCTCACCCCTCTCCCTAGCTCTGAGGACCAACACCCGCCGACCGTTTCATGCCGGCGGCGTGGGATAATGATTGTTAATGACTAAATAGCCCTTGAGACACCTATAAACACTGTTGATTTTGCACATTTTAATTCCTTCCTGTAACTGTTTTCGCCTGAATAAGAATTACCGAAAACACGTGTTTGGCAACTTGACTTTTTGAATATTTGATTTTGAATGCTCTCTTTTCCTGGACGGAGCCATTACGCATAACATTTTTTAAATATTACTTCAAAGCGAATGATTCCACTGAAAAAAGGCCACTGAGACCTTATGATTTTGGATTTCAAAAGTGGTTAAATGACACTCTGGATGACCGAGGACGGACGTACGTCCTTTTATGGTTTTCGAGGCATCGAGTTTATCTGCAAATGAGGAAACTTGATATTTCTCACATCCGCTCCTGCACACCAAAACAGATCACAAACGAGACCGATTGGCGTGCAGTAAACTACAGTTGTTCTTTTATTATTTATCATATGGAATTGGAAGTGATTTACCAGGTAATTTGTGTGATTAAATATCGATTCTTTTCTTTATACTTGTAAGTTTTGTTTAAAAAACAGACGTGCATTCTAAGCGCAGGATTCACCAGAAAAGGGAAGATAAACTTACCTGCGATCTCTGCCATCAAATGAGAACACAACTGTCTTTTCCACACTGTTTATGCCAGTTAATCTGTAAAACAACAAATTCCCTATATGTAAATTTATCCTTGACTCTCCTGCAGATACACAGCACGGAGCAATACAGGAAATTACAGACGATATCCATGCAAAATAGGAAGGGGCATGCAATCATCAAATCTGACAAGGGGACACTGGAGATGCTGGCAATTAATCGCAGACGTAGCTATCAGCGAATAACGCAATCAAAGTTTCTCGATTTCCTACCAGGCCTACTGGGAAGCTCCCCGCTTGGAGAACGTGCAAAGGGCTTCATTTTTTACTTGGCTTTGAATTCCGCCCGTGACTCTTTGTCTGTCATGTGTTGCGATGTCAACGGATTCGTCTTCTTTGAGAGGCGCAGCGATGTGTGATGTACTGTTTGATAACTTGGAAACAATAAAAATCTGGGTTTTCATTAATTTTCCTCGACCATTGATTCCTGATTTCCTTGAAACGGAAAACTCAGTTATCCCGCAATATGAGACATTCAAGAAAGAGACGTTTATCTTGTTAAACTGGTGAATGCCCCGATCGTGCACGCAAACATCTGATCAAGTCGGTCTCAGAAAACAACCAAAACCAGGTCAGAAAATAGGTTGGATGGTTTACGTATTATTTGCACTCGCAAGCTTCGAAGTGCGTCCACTCTATCGGCCTGAACTCGGCGATCACGTCAGCCTCTTTGCCCTAATTGATAGCAGTAGTCATCAGTATGTTGTACTTTTGCATCTTAGCTTAACTGATCTGTTAATAAACGGATGCGAGTGTGATACTTCATAAGGCGATACAATATAACTGGTCAATGAAGGATGACTGGAGGATATTTTTTATCAACAGAAATATCGCGATGGCGTGATTAATGAAAGAATCTAAACCGCAGTGTACTAGGACAAGGATTCAAGTAGGCATCAGCCAAATTATCATTTCGTCGTTTTACTGTAAACCATGTACAAGGCTCGACCTCCGTCATCAGTTTTTGTGGAATATCAGGACACTTTGAGGCAATCCAATGTTTTAAGACGTTGCTCCGTTTTTCCTGGAATACAAAATGGATTACGTAGATATTACATACATATTCCAAAATACTACCCACGTTTTTCCTGATATCCACAGACGAGACGTGTAACAACACACTATTTAGGGGGTACTTTTCTCCTAAGAGACTGCTTAGATTGGTGAATACCTCAGGAAAAGACATTAATTAGAAGTATAGATGCACACGCACTTTCGGTTGTCTTCCAAATCCGATTTCGCCGGTGACCCTGTTGCCGACAGTCATCATGGTCATGTCTGACGTCCTTCTTCAAAGTTGCGTTGCGTCGATGTCAACTACCTTAGCGGAGATCGCTTCCAGACGTACTGGCCTGCAACTACTTGATATCATGCGACAAGAGACTTACTCCTTCAAGCTTCTGCAGGAATTGTGTTGACATACAGACAGTGGTGTCCGAATCAGCGGTCAGAAAACTGAGACGCCGAGACAGTCAGTTTGCAAGTCCGTATGCTTGAATGTTTTTGAGAAATACAATGGGCCGGAGAGGAGCCTCCCCCTTATGCACCTTGAAGACACCATAGAATCACGCTAAGGCCGTTTCTTGGGCTCTTGCCATGTGTTATTGCACCCGAGTTCTCCAGTGCCAACAGTGTCGCATTACTTTCGCGTGTCAGCGTTTTGCGGGGTTGGTTTCACATTGGTCATAAAACTGGCGATCCTCAAGTATTATTTGGGCCTCCTGGAGGTAGTTTGTACTGTCCAGTTCGACGGCGGAACGTCCCTTGTCCGGGGACACGATGACAATTTACATGCCGACCTTGAGTTATCATAGGACGTCGGGTTCGACATTTGGGAGTATTCCGCCCGGCCTGTGAGCCATAGGTAGGGATGAAGCTCGATGTCGGCTAAGTTTTTCGTCTCCACCGTCGCTTTCGTCTGATTGATAACCCATCCCACTGCTGAAATCATGTTAACAGATTTGGCAACAGCTGTGCCGAATGGGGCTTCGTGCCGTAAAACCTCCAATTACTTCTTCGTCAGTTCCTTTGACGACCGGTTGTGTACCAGTGTACCGTCTCTGGATGACGATGAATCAGGCGTCGCGTGCCGCTCTCTGTTCGCGGGCTCGTTCAGTCACCTTCTGCTGAAGCATTTTTGCGCCGTTCTCGCCCATGAACTCACAGCATCTGGCCTTCGCTTGGTTAATTCTTTGAGATTGAAGTTCACATCCACCGCT